AGTGAGATACAGAAACAGTGTATCCCTGTGACAGTGAGATACAGAAATAGTGTATCCCTGTGACAGTGAGATACAGAAATAGTGTATCCCTGTGACAGTGAGATACAGATACAGTGTGTATCTGTGACAGTGAGATACAGATACAGTGAGCAAATTCTAAACAGCAAGCATAGCTGTTGATGTGTTTTTCAAATCCCAGCCTGTGATTCTCAGTTACGAACTGCATACTTGAAATTGTTCTCATTGCCAAAAACGTAACCTTGGTTAGATTTGTCATTCTCGCATCACATGATCTGACTTACAATTAAAATGTACCTGGTTGATAACCACATAATTCAAACTGTAAAGCAGGCAGGAGAGACCTGCTGCTTTCAGAGTTCCTTTGTATGAACCTCCCACGAGACCAGACAACCACAACTGTTGTGTGTCTTTGGGGAATTGAGTGGGGCTGGGGTTGGTTGTTGGGTTTGGCTGGCTTTCTGAAGCTGATTTCGTTCCTAGGTTTATGATTCTGCTTAACAAAGGAACATAGGTGTTCCTACATGGAGCTAGGCCATGGTCAATCATCTATCTTAATACTATCCCTTGTTACCTTTTGGTACTGATCTCCATCTTAAACCTGCTCTTCTGGAGTAGTGTATCCAATTCTGGTCACTCTGTTATAGCAAGGATATTATTGAGCTGGAGAGGGTTTAGGAGAGATTTATCAGGATGTTACCTGGAATGGAGGGTTTGAGTTATGGTGAGAGGCTGGATAGGCTGGGACTTTTTTCACTGGAACATAGAAGGCTGAGGGGTGACCTTATAGAAGTTTATAAAATCATGAGGAGCATGGATAAGGTGAATGGCAGGTGTCATTTCCACAGTGAGGGGAATTCAAGACAAGGGTTTTTTTTAAGGTGAGAGCAGAAAGATTTAAAAAAGACACAAGGGGCAATTTTTTTTACACAGAGAGTGGCTTATGTGTGAATGAACTTCCAGAGGAAGTGATAGATTCGGGTACAGCAACAACATTTAAAAGGCATTTGGATAAGCACATGAATAAGAAATGTTTGGAGAGCTATGGGCCATGAGCAGGCAGGTGGGACTAGTTTAGTTTGGGATTATGGTCGGCATGGACTGGTTTGACAGAAGGGTCTGTGAGTGATTGAACATCCCTCTTTAAGAATCACTACTGTCTGTGTGAAGAAATATCTCCTCTGTTCAGTCCTAAATGGCTGATCCTTAATTCCGAGGCTGTGTGCCCTGGTTCTCGAGCCACCCCAGACACAGTGGGTTTAGAACCAGGCTTTCTGCATCCATTGTGTCACACCCTTTAAGAATGTTGTCAGTTCCCACAGTATGTTATCACCGGTCCCTCCTCTAAACTCTTGAGAGTACAGGCCCAGTCTGCTCAATCTCTCTCTCTCTGTCGGATAGCCCCACCACCCAAGGGCTCAGTTTAATAACAACTGCCTTCTAATACCAATGAACCTATTTGAAGCATATTTCCTCCATCAAAGTTTGCAAAACAAATTTATGGCATTGTAAACAATCAGGAGCAGATTGCAGCTTTCATCATAGTGACAATACTCCATGGATGAATTTGGAATTTCAGATTTTTGGGATTGAACTGAATGTTTTCACCAGCAGGTGTTACTCAGTAATAAATGTCAAACCACAGAGGCTCTGTCCTTGACACAGGCCAGTGATCAGTTCAGGGGACGTCATGTGAGCGAGTCAGGTTAACTCTAACGTTTATACAGCAAAGCTTCCACCCGCTGTGTCAGGACCTGATGCTGCTGTTTGTTCCAAAACAAACCAGGATCCAGTTGTCCTTCATTCCTACCTGTGTGACCTTCCTTATTTAAGCAGAGAGTCACTGACTACCCTGTTCATTTCATTAGCCTTTTTTATTTAGAATTGTGTGTAACGTGAACCAAGGTGTGTTCCCTCAACCCAGTCATTAACACCTCAGAGAGTTTTACAAAGAGGGGTTTAGCTGGGGGATTTATTTGGATACAGCCTGGGTTTTACAGGGGGCTGTCTGCTGGGCTTATTGGGATTACAGTGGTGGGCTTACGGGGGAACAGTGTGGGTTAACTGGGAAAAATACAAGTTGGTTATTTGAGGAGCTACCTGTGGGTTTACTGGAGAAGAGTCTGATTTACTGGGAGCAGCCTGTTGGGTTTTCTATGGGGCTGTCTGTTGGGTTTATTGGGATCACTGTGGTGGGTTCACTGGGGAACACTCTGGGTTTATTAGAACTGTCTTTGCCAGGAGGTTGGTGGGCTCACTGAGTGATTTGTGCCTTCTTTGGGAGAAAGCTGCCAACTGGCGACCATTCCTCTGCATCACAATGACACTAAGTGGCTGTAAGCTCTCTCTGTTGCCTCCTCAGGTCGGGCTGATATTCTGTTGAATGATATACGCCCTCACTGTCGGGCACAAAACACTGTGGCTATTCTCAACAAAGTCTGGAATGAGGTGGAGCCACAACCAAGCCAAGCTCCCCAGTTGCTGCCAAACAAGGTAGGAGTCCTGCACGTGTCTGGCCAAGCCTTAAACTTGCCAGGCACTGTCCTGGCTCAGCTGATTGCCCCACTGTGCGAGGAGAGGGGTAACTAGATAGGGAGTGCAACTCAAAAAAAGGTGGGACCCACCCTGAGGAGTGGCGGGGCTGAATAACCCAATCGCTGGGCCACTAATCCACGGCCCAAGCTAACACAGGTTCCAATCCCAGCATGCAGCTTGTGTTAATAATTTTTGTTTTTGTTAAATTATTGTCAACCGCTAAGAGTCTCGTGGTGCCATGGTAGTGTTCCTACCTCTGGCCTGGAACATTGGGTTCAAGTCCCACACAACTGCAAGTTATGTCATAACAGATCTGATTATAAACTGTAATGGGGACTCTTGTGGCGCAGTGATAGTGTCTCTATCTCTAGGCCTGCCAGCCCAGGTCCCATCACTCATGGAGGTGTGTCCAAACACATCTTATTCTTCCTTGTTTTAAAGTTATCACCAGTCGTTGTGCAAACCCTTCTTGTTGACTGATGACCTTTGGAGAAAGAAATCTGACCTTTCTACCTGGTCTGCTTTTGATGTAGCTCCAGAATCTCAGCAATGAGGTTGACTCTTAACCACCTTCTCGGCCTAGTGAGTGAGTGAGGCCTATTTGGGACATTGGCCCTGTCAGTGATGCTCGGGTCTCAGGAGAGAATTAAGAAAAATGCAAGTGATCACCCGAAATAAGTTTCCAACATGGACTCTGCTCCAGAGGGAATATTAGATTATACACCGCAACTGATGTCTGAGAAAGCCCAGGCCTGACCATAATTACAAAGAGATCTTGGTCAATTGGGTCAATGGGCTGAGGAGTGGCAGATGGAGTTTAATTTGGATAAATGCAAGGTGTTGCATTTTGGTAAAACGAACAAGGGCAGGACTTATACAAATTAAAAGGAGGGCCTTGGGCTCAAGCACATTAATTCTTTGAAATTTACGTCACGTGTAGACAGGGTGGTTAAGAAGGCATTTAGCACATTTGCCTTCATTGCTCAGACCTTTGAGTGTAGGAGTTGGAGGCGTCATGTTGAGGTTGTACAGGACATTGGTGAGGCCTCTTCGGGAGTACTATGTACAGTCCTGGTCTCCCTGTTATAGGAAGTGTATTATTAATCTGGAGAGGATTCAGAAGAGACTTACAAGGATGTTGCTGGGAATGGAGGATTTGAGTTATAAAGAGAGGCTGGATAGTCTGGGACTTTCTCGGCTGGAGCGTAGGAGGTTGAGGGGTGACCTTGTAGAGGTTTATAAAGTCAAGAGGCGTATAGAAAAGGTGAGTGGCGGGTGTCTTTTCCCTAGGGTGGGGGAAGATTTCAAGACTTAGGGGATTTATTTTTAAGGCGAGAGGAAAAATATTTTAAAAAGTCACAAGGGGCAACTTTTTTATGCAGACAGTGGTTTGTGTGTGGAATGAATGTCCAGAGGAAGTGATGGATGTGGGTCCAGTTGCAACGTTTAAAAGACATTTGGACAAGTTCATGAATAGGAAATGTTTGGAGGGATATGGCCCAGGAGCAGGCAGGTAGGACTAGTTTAGTTTGGGATTATGGTCGGCATGGACTGGTTGGTCCGAAGGGTCTGTTTCTGTGCTGTGAGACTCTATGACCATAAAATGTAAAAAAGGTAAAGTCACCATAGTCCTATTTGACCAGAAAGAGAGAGAGAGAGAGATGACTAGTGGTGGTTTAACCTAAGTGTCACAGTTCCTCAGGCAAGGGGAGACGTTGAGAAGGGGAGTCCTTCATGGTGACCCTCAGTCAATGCAAGAATTGAACCCACTCTGCATCACAAACCAGCTGTCCAGACTATAAATACTGAATCCCGAAGGTGCTGCTCGCTGGCCAATGTGAAAGAACTTAATCACAGGCAGCCGATGCATGAGGCTGAGCCAGAGACTATCACTCGAAAGGCTCCGCTGGAATAAAGATTGTTTTTTTTTTTTCCCAATCTCCTTTGAACATTCCTCTTTACCCAGATATTAAAAAAAATGGAAATGAGGAGATGAATGGATACAATAGGGAAATTAGATATATTGCTTTCCAGCCAGTGTAGGAAGGTAATGCATCACAAGGAAGAAGTGGTGGCCATATAATGCCAGGACATGGGGGGGTTGGTGGGGGTAGGTCATCTGTGAGCATCACTGGCAAGGCCAACATTTATTGCCCCTTTTGTAACTGCCCTTGAAAGGAGCAACTTGCCAAGTCTTTTCAGAGGGCAGTTAAGAATTAAGTTGGACCAGGTAAGGAGAGCAGATTTCCTTCCTTCAAGAGTATTGGTGAACCAGGTGGGTTGTTACAACAACTACCTAAATGGATTAACCTGTCAGATTTACTCACCGGCCCCCATTCTTTATTCGTTCACGGGATGAGGGTGTCACTGGCCAGGCAGCATTTATTGCCCGTCCCTAATTGCCCAGACAGGCAGTTAAGAGTCAACCACATTGCTGTGGGTCTGGAGTCACACGTAGGCCAGACCGGGTAAGGATGGCAGTTTCCTTCCCTAAAGGACATTAGTGAATCAAATGGGTTTTTCCCGACAATCGACAATGGATTTACGGTCACCAGTAGACCAGATATTTCATTGAATTCAAGTTCCACCATCTGCCGTGGCAGGATTCGAACCCGGGTGCCCAGAACGTTATCAGGATCTCTGGATTAACAGTCCAGCGATAATACCACTAGGCCGTCGCTTCCCCCATGATGGAACTTGAACTGACACACGCAGCGCCCCCCACCTCCCTGGTTCGTTGGGCTGGGTGTCTACGTTGGTAGCTCAGTGACATTGCCATGAGACTGCCCACC